GGGGGGGGGGGGGGGGGGGGGGGGGGGGGGGGGGGGGGGGGTGGCATAGGTGCGGGGGATTGCAATCCACGTGCCCTCCTGAACCGCGCCAAAAGGGTCCCCGTGACTGCGCCCGTTGTACCCTACAACACACGAAATTCCCAACACCTATCCCCTTGGGATCCTCACGATCAGATACTGCTGCGAGTATATCTAACAGCGGTGATCACCTCTTGTTGTATTTCCTTCGTACCCCTGTTCTTCTATCCCGGAGTTGCCTCTCTGTTTCGTTTCCGGTGCGTACGACACCCTACGTCATCCCCTGCGGAGCAACAAACGCCTACAATTCGTTTCCGCTCCGCAAATTGTTTTCTCGGAATCTACACCATAGCTATGCCCCGCCTTGCCTGCCTGGGAAAATACGGCACACACACACAGATGGTGGGCCCCCTATGTAGATGATATTTGCGGCCTACGCCACATATTTATCGGGTGAGACTGTTTTGGTGATGTATTAACTTCACAAGAGGTCGACGACCGTCCTTCACACGGACGAAAGAGGGAGTGCTCAAAGAGCGGCTCCCACAGCAAGGAGGGGCCCCGTGAATCATCGCGGTGCCCCCTACCAAACGGCAATCTTACCAGTCTGCGTGACACCAAATCATCCAGCACATGTATCCAACAAAAATGTTCGCAGACCCACGAACACCCTCCCTGGTTCTTCAGTCAAGTGACTAACCATCAATTGGGCAAGGACGCCCCTGGATACATCAGAAAATACCAACATGGTAATATATCGAGGGGAAACCCGGCGTCAGGGCAAAACCCCTCGAAAAAAAGAAATCCTACCACCACAAAAACCGTCGCTATCACAGCGGATCACAACGGCCGCACTTATTAGAAAGGCCAAGGCGAAGACAAGAACGCGAGGAACTACGTTCCCCCGGACGATGGTCTCCCAACGCCCCCTACTCCTGCCATTGGTGCACAGACCGCAAGAGTTATGCGCCTTTTCCCGCATAGAAAACATGGCCTCTCCCAAGTGCTAGAAACTGCTACAGCTTCTCCGGCAAATTCATAAGCTTGCGCCGGTGATACTGCAGACTGGCCCTGCTCAGGGCCTTGGTGAGGAGGTCCGCGTGTTGCTCCGTTGTCGGGACAAACTTGACCGAAATATCCCCCGACCTAAACAATCCGCGGATGAAATGAAACCGCACGTCGATGTGTTTCGTGCGACCTGAGCTGAGGGGGTTCTGCACCAACGCTATTGCCCCCTGGTTGTCCTTAAGGACCTGGATGCTGCTACCACTGGCCTCTGGGGCAACCAACGAAAGCACAGCACGCACAAACAACGCCTCCTCGACGCCCTCCCCGGCAGCAATGTAC